TTGACATTCATCAACAATGAGTAATTAAAAGTGATTACAAGCAAGTTCTGCATTACATCTTATTTAAAATGTGTAGGCGTCACTGGCCCAGAAATACTCACAGCTCACTGATAATGGTGATAAAAATGATGCAGGCAGATGCTGAGTTTGTCAACTGGAGATTTATTCACTATTTTAGGCTAAACTGTTAACATTGGCCAACATGTTATGTAAACATGACTGTGGGAGAGAAGGGAGTGGCTGTTTTGGGGGAGTGACCAGGGACAAGCCAGAAGCTCACCTGTATGAAGTTAATTGGCAGTTAATTGCTTAAAAGTTAATTATTCACTTGCTGTCATTTAGTATGTGTGAGTGGTATGAAACGGGCTGTCATCAGTTATTATGGAAAGGGCGCCTTTAAGCTGTGATTGGGGATTGGCGTTCCTGTTACAAACCATGTTCCCTGTGCTGTGTGGATCCACTTGCTGTTCAAACATAAGAAACTTCTCTTAGTTACAGGTATGGAAAATCATTTCCTCGTTTAAATGTAAAATTCAGGTACAAATCTAGCATTTCTTCTCTTGATTGACTCCTTCTGGTTTTGTGTGGTTTACTGCCACCACCAACTTGGCCCAGTTGCACAACAGAAAAAAAATAATAAGATGTGTACAGCATAGTAAGCAAACTACACATCTGTCTGTGAAAGCGAATTAGACGACTGTGAGGATTGGTTTGTGTTGTAAGTAAGAAGCGGAGGAGGATTTTAACCTGCACTGAACAAAGATGAATAACCTCTGCAATGCTTTCTATTTGTTCTCTTAAAATAAGGCGACGAGTTTAAATGAGTTTTAAAAAATCATCTCTTTTCCCAGAGCCGTGTTATTCCTTGTATTGTGGCATTAAACCAAGAGTGACTAATTGCACAAGCCATCGATCTGACCCCGCCCCCCGGAGCCAGCTGATTTTCAGATGTTGCTACATTTACATGGGATAGCCAAAGAGGAGCTGTCTGGCTTTCCATTTGGGTTTCGTTCCATAGTCCAAAGACAGGTGTAGTGTAAGAGTACGTGCCCTGTGAAGACAGCATCCCTTCTTTGTCCTTGTGCCATGCGCTTCCTGAGATCGGCCACTTAATAATTTNACACACACACACACACACACACACACACACACACACACACACACACACACATGCTCTGACACATTCACACACATACGACACATCACAATGTACTTGTGAATGACAACAAAAGCAAGATGGGGTTGGGGGGGGGGCTTGCAATTTTGGAACAGACCCTTTGGACTTTGCCCACTCGTGCTCCATTAGTATACATCGTGGTAGACAGTACTGCCCCTCAGCCATCTGTGACCAGACAGTGACAGAGTGGAGCAAAGGACACTGGGAAACTGACAGGCAAGCTGTTAGTCACCGTAGAAACAAGGCCACAGGTCACATGACGTATTTGTGCTTAAGTGAGGAAGTGAAATCAGACATTCATGCAGAAAATGCTGGATATATATTTATATATCTGTACTGGACAGACTAACCACAAAATCACAATATTATAGCTCAAAATATTATATTACAAACATTACTGAAATCATCCATTTTCTAACCATTTATCCAGGTCAGGTTTCGTGGAATAATTAAACTCATAAAAACAATAATAATCATCTGTTTTCTCTTGCAAAGCTAGGCAACAGTAATGACTTTGGTAATCTGCTGCTCTCCCAGATGCTTCTGACAAGAAATATGAAAATAACTCCTATTGCAAAACCTCAATGAATCTCCTTTCAGCGTCATCCACGCCCCTCTGTCTGCTTCACCTGCGCTTGTTCGTCTCGTCCGGGCTGTCGGCAGGGTCAGCTTCTTTAAGGCTGCTGATTTATAGGTCCCTGGGTGCACCCCATAAATTAACACGGTAATGCCCCCCCCCACCCCACCCCCCTGAGAGAAGAATTTTAACTGATGGGGTGCAACGGTTGGCTTGATTTACCCCAGGATTTGTGTCAAAGTGCACAAATGATGATCAATACACACACGTGCACACACCCGAATATGTATATTCAGATCTCTTTCAGAAATAAACACAGGACAGCAGTTAAAGGTGCAGTGCTTGCTGGGTAGGTTACAGTAGGTTACAAATCAGGCAGAAGTATTTCTACACCTTAACTTGACACAGAACTCGACACGACACGTTACAACACCAAAGGGAAAAAAATGAAATCCTTTATCCATCCATCCATTATCTGAAACTGCTTGTTCTATTCAGAGTCACAGGGCATCTCAGAGGCTAAAGGCACAAGGCAGGGAAAAACCAAGGATTGGGCATCAACCTATCGCAAGGCACACTCACACACCATTCACTCACACACCATTCACTCACACACCATACACTCACACACCATTCACTCACACACCATACACTCACACACCATTCACTCACACACCATACTCTCACACACCATTCACTCACACACCATACACTCACACACCATTCACTCACACACCATACACTCACACTCACACACCATTCACTCACACTCACACACCATTCACTCACACACCATACTCTCACACACCATTCACTCACACACCATACTCTCACACACCATACACTCACACACCATACACTCACACTCACACACCATTCACTCACACACCATACACTCACACACCATACACCATTCACACACCATTCACTCACACTCACACACCATTCACTCACACTCACACACCTCATTTATCAATACCCTTAATGACAATTAAACACATCATTGTTTGAATTAACACCAGCAACACCAGTAATTAATGACTACTGCAGGAGATTAAGTAAATGCTAGTGGCACCTTACTCTGGTGTATCTTCTCTTCCCGTTGTACCCACTTCATCCTCACAATTTTCCTGCTATCTTATGCAACAAAGGCCGGGTCACACAACATGTTGGAAAACCCTGAGTTAAAAATCCTGTTAATTCCCCAGGTTGTTTTGCTGTAATGCATTGCTGTAATGTCATAACCTCATTTGAAATAAATGGGATAATGAAGCAAAATGGACTCCATCACTGATGCCTCGTGACTGATCATTTAAAACGGATTTCTGTTTTGACTTTTAACCTCACACGACAAATCCAGACCGTGTTGCTGGCCATCCTCATACCCAAAGCCTATTTTATTTGCATTGAAAACTACCGTTCCGTCCTCCAGACCCATATGCTATTTTTCAGTTCAATTCAGTTTTATTTGTATAGCACATTTTCATAACATTTCATCAAAGCGCTCACCCCACCCAAAGCCCCCAGTGACAGTGGCAAGGAAAAACTCACTAGAAGGAAGAAACCTTGGGAGGAACCAGACTCAAAGGGGGGGTCCATCCTCCAGGGGCTAGCAGAGGAAGTCAAGTGGCCATCTTGGAGTAACTTTTTTTTTAAAAATGGATTTTGCAAGAACTGGAATCCAATGGACCTTTCAATTGAAGCCTAAAGACACCTCAAGCATGGGGCCCACAGAGGTCTTGGTTTGCGACAGGAAGGTCGTGGGTTTAAAACCTACATCCACCCACCTGAGAGTAAACCTCTGGCAACATCTGGATGAGCCACCAAATCGAGACAACACATTTCTCCCTGCAAAAGTATCTATATTTTATACCAATGCGAAATGCTGAGTGGCTCCTTAAAAGAAACAGTGTTGCTTCAGAATGCTCTTGATAGACCTATTTATCAAGCCCATAGCTGGACACATCTGTGGGAGAAGCCTTGGAATAATGGATGCATTAGGAATCCATTTAAAAGTCAATATGGATCTGAAAAAAATTGCATTATGAATAACTGCAACTTACTGAAAAATTTCAGTGTGGAAAAAATATCAGCTTTGAATGGCATGATTCTTGCCCCATATTTCACACCATTCTGTTTGATTGATGGAGGGATAATTAAAGATAATATCTTGTGTTAGTATTCCATGTGTATTTCATGCTTGGTGTTGAATTTTCAAGCAAGATAATCAACAGACCGAGTTCCATTGCTTGTTTTGTCGGCAGTTAAAAATAACTATAGCAATGTTTTTTTTTTATGGAAGATTTTGCAATTATTAAGACATAATCCATCAATATATGATTTTGCTGGAAAGAGTTGGTGCAGTTTGAGAGAACATTTAGTGCAGCTGATTCTTGGATAATTCTGTCAATCTTCACGTCGCTGACTGTAGTGGCATTTTTCTGTGCTTTACTCATTGCTGAATCATTACCTTCTTAATAAGGAGAAAAAAAATTAAATGATACTAAAAATTCTCTGAAGAATATCCGTTTGGTGAAGGTAATTCCTCTCATTGTAGGATTGGAAATGCTTCAATAGGACAAACTGAAGACACCAAACCAGGGAAAGCCTCAGGTGCAACCTTATTCAACATTTAGTATTCAGCATATCAGCAAATGTGGTGGACTCATCATTTTAATTGTCACCATAAGCTTCCTCCCACCGTTTCATTCAAAAACCAAACGCAAATGAAAATACACAGCGATGTTAAAGCAGTTAATAAATGATGTCTTTCTTGTTTCATGGGACAAATGCCAAAACAGAAGTGATCACTCCCAGCGCTGACAGTACAGTCAGACGCTACTGGAGTAACATCTCAAACCTGGTGTTTTCTTCAGCGACCGACCAGTGCTGCTTCAAGCGGTATTTGTGTTTCGATAAACTTTTATCTAGGCTTCGCCCGCTTTTGGACGGACTGTGCTGATTTATCACGCAAAGGCTCCTTTACTCTCTGCTGGTAATTGGATGCCACAGAAAGGATGAGTTTCATTGATCTTCGCGGGGGACTGCGGAGCATTAGCAAAGTGGGCCTCCAGACATTCATGCCGCTCGTGTTGGGCCGCGATCGATGCCTGTGAATCTTCATTCTTTTTTTATTTATTTAGTCCAGTCCCCATTGATTGGAAGCAGCAATAGTTCAGGCCCATTTTTGTCACTTTGATGCAAACTTTCATTACCTTGTGCTGTGAGCTTTCCCACCATTTGCAGGCACTACTGGGTGGAGGCTGACCTTCCCATCTACATATTGAAGGAAATGACTTTGACCCGCTCGATAGGGTCAGCTGAGGCGGACGGCGCGATCGCCGGCTTCGGAGAGCTGAGAGTGAGATGCCAAGCAGGAGTGCTGCCAGACCTTAAAGTGGTGTGTTAATTGTAAGTAATCTCATGAAACGGAGGCACGGCGGCGACACGTTGCTTTGTGCGAGCTGTCGACACACAAGCGCCACAGATGTGACCCCAAGGATGGAGCATTCAGTGCTATTGTGAATTTTTGCCAGTATCTTCCTGTGTCCATGGAAGGCGCGGACATGTGACCTCTTGTTTGTGAGTCAGAAATGGACCTTATCAAGTTGAAGGCTGTGTGTGTTCTCAGCCATAGAAGTCAGAGTAATGAATGAGGCAGATACGCATAGACAAACTCCAAAATTGCTTCTACATCCAGATTGGTCCCAAGCCACTTTCTACTGACATGAACAGGGCATGGCGCCCCCTGTGGCCAGGTACGGTCAGCGCATGCCTGAAGGGTTTTCGTCCTGCCCTGGGGGGTGGGAGGGGTTTCCTACTGAATGCAGTCAGCTCTCGTTTACTGTTCCAGATGGGAGACTTTTCAATCACCTGATGTGACGCTGATTTCCCTGGTGACCCCTGGTGACCCCTTGTGTGTACTAGGGCAGTGTTTCCCAGTCCAGTCCTCGGGAACCTGCAGACAGTAGGACTGCCTTGCTGGGAGCTGGGAGGGAGCAAAAACGTGGACCGTCTGTGAGTCCTCATGGGATGGGTTGGAAAACACTGTATTAGGGTAAAATCTGTTTGGAGACTGACTGGGAAGGAGTTAACTGGCATTTTCTAGTAGTAGTGATTTTAGAAAGCCTCCGATTAAAAAAATACATATTTAAAAAGTAGGAATTAATAAATGTGGAGGTGTTATGTATATATGTATAGTTGCAACCAAATTGTTCTCATAGCGGACTGTAAATTTTTACATTAACTTCCACATTCTGCAGTTGTTGCAGGTTTTCCACTTTTTTCTTTCATCATTAAAAACCAGAAAAATGTTTTCATTAAAAAAAAAAAAAAACCTTAAGAACAAAGATGTGTGAATGGCATAAACATAGGGGTGCAGAAAACACCAATCCGGTGGGAGGAAGCGAAATCTGGCAACCGCCACTGCTCATGTGACCACTCCTCACTCTAAGGCACGAACATGTGCCACTCGATACCCGGCAATTAGTTCCCATTGTTGCTAATCCCTTCCCTGTGTTCTGACAGGGATCAGTGTGTGCTGGCCTCAGAGCAGGATTGTGGCAGGTCTCTCACAGGGGAGGCTTTTGTCAATGACAACAATGTCAACAGGCCGCAAACGGCAGCTACGGCTTAGCAGTTCCTTTTTCTTCTTTTTCGTTCTTACCTGCTTGCGTCCATCCATCCATCCATTCGTCGCCGGAGGATAAAAATGGCTTTTATTGAAGGAAGTAGCAGCAGTTTTAACTCCACAAATGGAATTCACTTGGATTATAACCAAGACTTGCTTTTAACTAGCTGCCTAGATGACTTGTAGAATATAACCCCTTACAAATGGACCTGCTTCCGCAGGTGAGCACTTTGGAGAGTGTCTGGTTCTGGATCCCCTCGATCCATGCTAAAGCTGCCCCATCTCTGCCTCAGTCCGGCCTTTGCCCCGTATCCCTCCGCATGTATATACGCTGGTGCAGGCCAGGCTGCTGTAATGCATTGCTGACCCCAGGAATCCCCTTCATTATCCCCCTTTGTCCGCCCGCCCCTCCAGCTTCTTTGTGGGGCCGGTCACCCCCACCGTGCCCTGTCGCAGGGCCCCTACATAATATCCTGCATAGGCAGGAACTTCATGCCTTCCCGCCTCCTTTGTCATGCGCGGGCCGGCTGCCGAGAGCCGAGCCGAGGCATGGAGGAATCCGGGCCGGGCCATTGTGTCGCTCTGCGCCTTTCACACGCTCCGCAGGACGCTTCCTTTGGGCCGGCCCAGGAACACGTGTAGGGCAGTCCTGCACAGGGACCCCGGCGAGAGGCTGGCCTAACTCAGCTTGTTAACGGACTGCTGCTCTGGGAGAGGGGCGTAAAATCGCCAGGCTCTCCCGACAGGGGGATACGTCCAGAAAGGAAATTGCGGTGTTTATTAGCCAGAGAGAGGCAGACACTGGCTAACCTCGTGGGGCTCCGGGGCTATGGAAACCATCACGGCCAGTTTTTCAAAGTTCCCATCCACGTGAGTCAGGTGGGATTCAAACATTAAATGTAGCGGTGCAGAGGCTCCTATTGAGACCTGTGTCTGTGCTAAGTCGGACCCCCACTAGGCACTTGGCTTGTGTTAAGCAGGATTCTCAGTGGGACCTGTGTCTGGTGTTTAAGAGGCTCCCAGCGGGGCCTGTAGCAGAGGTTAAAAGGGTTAAGTTACAGGTCACATCCCATTACATGCCCTTCCAGCAGCCTGTGGGTGTCTGATAGCAGAGCACACATGTAGCCATGTACCAAGTCTGACTATCTGACAGGTTACTTTAAGAAATAAGATGCTTTTCTTATTTTGTTTTGGTGGTGACAAACATCGCAATGTGGAACAAAACAATTACCAGTAATTACATTTCCTTATCATCTTACAGTAATTGAATTCATTACGTTTGACAGTATGGCAGGTGAAATCTGGTTCCCTTCCTTTGCCAAGGAAACTAAGTGCCGAATTATGTTGTCACAGCCATTTTGTCAAATTTATCACAAGTGGTACATTTCATCATACGGCTTTTTTAACTGAATAAGTTAATCTGATTATTGCATGCAGACAGCTGCAAATATATTTACTAAAGGATCTGTAATTATTGATCAGTGGGTCTCCCAGGGGCTTCGGGTTTGGATCATGCCTCTACTGTATATGTGGAGTTTCTCCCTGTATTGCGTGGGATTGATTCCCTTGGATGCTCCAGCTTCCTCCCACCATCCAAAGATGTGCAGTCGGGCTAATTAACATCTCTAAATTGCCCAAATGTTATAATTGTGAGTGTGTGTGCCCTGCAGTGTGTGTGCCCTGCAATGTGTTTGCCCTGCAGTGCGTGTGCCTTGCAGTGTGTGCCCTGCAGTGTGTGTGCCCTGCAGTGTGTGTGCCTTGCAGTGTGTGTGCCTTGCAGTGTGTGTGCCCTGCAGTGTGTGTGCCTTGCAGTGTGTGTGCCCTGCGGTGTGTGTGCCCTGCAATGGACTAGCATTTCAACCAGGGCCTGCCTGACCAGGGCAATCGGTTTGAAGATGGATCGAATTTTTAAGCTTTGTACCCGACATGCATACCAATTTATTTTAACAAGACGAACAGATGATTTCTTTGCCCGCGAGACTGTATTTTTTGTGCTCTGTGTTTCCTGGTGTGGAAACAGCCATGTTCTAGTGAACAGAACAGCAGCTACAAAAAACACAGTGAATAAGGATATCAGATGACAACAGCAGTACCAGACTATTGTCAATAACAACTGGCTTGGAATGAAAGCTGGTAATGGCGTCGTAACTTGTTCCATCTGGGCATAATTGTCTTGATTGCATTAAAATGGAAAACAAACAGTGATTGACTATTTTAATCATAGTATGATGGAATCTAAAGTACTTGAATGAGGGAAAGACAAGCTACTGTGAAAACCAGTCTATATTTGTTCATCTACAGTAACTTTTTATGATTCCGTGTGTAGCCCACACATTTTTATATGTCGACCTGGATTCTCTTTTCCCAAATTTAAAACGCTCAGAGAAGCATTAACCAGAGGAAGAAATCTGTGCTGCTGTAAAACTCTTCAGTAGCGTCCACTCACGTTACACAATTCATTTGAACGTGTGACAGGCCTCAATCTACAAACCTATACCACAGGACAGCTAGTAATTATCTTCACCTAAGCTTCAAATAGCTTTTTGCTTCAGTAAACACTGGGAATACTGAGGAATACTGACGCTGTGATCCGGTCTCCGGCTGCAGAGCCGAATCTAACCTCACACCTAATCGCTGATGATGACCCGGCTAAGCGACCCGGCTAAGAGTTTGCTCCTTGGCAGGAACATCCTTGGCTTGACCCAGGCCGAGGTCATGAACACCCCGTGTTTGCGGGTTGTAATTAACAAAGGGTGCTGATTTAAGGGGGTTCCAGTGACCTCAGCTTCTCCTCTGTGGCAGGTGTGTGGCTCCAGGGCACTGTGAGGGTACTTCCAGCCAGGAAGGCGGAGGTGGGTGGATGAGAGGTTTGAGACGGAGAGGGGTGAAGGCGTGGAGACACCTGAAATAATCCCGGAAGCAGCTGCCAATCGCTGGTATGCCGGCCTGATTACCCTGGCACACATTTCCCGGTGAGGAGTGTTCCGTTTTCCTGTCTTAACCAGTCCTGTTTGCCCTGTAAACACACGCGCGCGCACGCACACACACACATGGCTGGGGGAGGGAAGGCCTGGCCAGCGACCTTAAAGAAAAGTGGGAGAGCAGCCATCCTGCCAGGTAAGGAAAGGCACTTCAAACGTCAGCAGTGTGCCCAACCGTTTGATAGAGCCCTCAGCGGCCAGGCGATGCAGCGGCCCGTTATAAATAAAGGGAGGAGAAACGAGCCTTTTGTCAATGTTTATCCGCGCGCCTTTTCTCCCTCGCCCTTGATTTCCTCTTCAGAAAATTGATGCACCCTTAAATTGAAGCGTGGGGACCTGACAGGTAATGGTTAGCATGATAACTGCTCAGATTTCATCAGCTGCTCTCTCTCTCTCTCGCTCCCTCTCTTGCTTGCTATCTCCCCCTGCGAGTGTGCAAATTCTGAAGCTTTCAGCTAGATTACTTGTCAAAGGGCGGATCGGATGAAATCGCCTTGGTTGTTGGGGGCACTGCCAGGGCTGCGGGCCCGAGGGGGGAGTCAGAACAGAGCACAAGTGAAACAGAAGTACAGCTACTTGTGCTGATGATAAATGAGACCAGGAGATTGCTGCTCGTTTGAGGATCCTTCCTTCACAATTATGCTGGTTTTTTATTAATAATTGTCTTCTACATTCCAAGACCAGCTCTTTTGATCAACAATATAAACCAAAGCAATTCTTAATAAGTTTCTACAAATTTCCATTAGATATGAAAGTAAATGTTTTCCTCAGTTAATCAACACCAGGATTAGAAGATTCAAAATGCCGTCCTCACCTTTTAGTGACCCTCCTATTAGCTGAAACGTTTTTTTCCATGCCTAGGTGTGCCAGTGGACTGCATGGTCACATGGTTACTCGCTTAGTGCCCTTTGCATTCTGGGATGGACAACAGGGTCCCCACAATCTTACACGGAGTAAGATGTGGAAATTGGATGAATAATTGTGTCAATTATAAGATGGAATGATTATATTTATTTATAAATTTCCCTTGTGACTTAAGTAGAAATACTATTGTTTTTTGTAAATGGAAAATGTATGTTTAACAGTCATTTGGAAATGATTGCTGTTCTGAGCGCCCCCCCCCCCATATGCTTGTTAACTGTGGTATTTTGAAAAGTTGAGAACTAATATAGTTTTAACTTATAGAATGTCAGAACTTATGTTTAAAAAAGAACAAATTTAGTCTTAACATGTGACTCATATTGAAATGATTTGTGTGTAAGTGTAATTAAATATTCAGTCGTCATATATAAATTTTTTTAATGAATAAGAATCCACTAGGTTTTTGTCCACATCCGTGTCACTTTAAAAATTGACAGTTGAATGTTGTCTGGTTGTCATAGCAGCAGAGATTGTTGAGAAGGTGATGGAATGACGTGGGCTGTTGTCATGGTGCCATAGAGAGCTCAAAACTTTTCAAATGCGATGCAAAAAAAAAAAAATGGAAACGGTAGATGAACTGTCATTATCTGCTATTTACTGGCGCTGGGGGGGGGGGGACTGGAAGGCTTGGCATGAAGGTAGGGATAGAGGAGACTGTGTTGACCAGACTCTCCTGGAAACAGCTCTATGTAAACACACACCATTTTGTGTGAAGGATCATTTAACACCCATAATACTTAAATAAATATTATATAACCATTTTTCGGAAATGCTTTCATCTTTGTTATGTTATTTATGAGTACAATTAATTGTTTTATATCCCTATGTCTGTTTTGTATTGTTTAGCATTTTCACTTTTTGAGAGTAAAGCAAGGAGCTTTGATGGCTGCAACTCTGTCGTTGCCCAGGTACTTTCTCAACAAACTTGTCTGAATTACATTATTGTCTATGCCTTCCAGCGCAATTTTGTGTGAAATTCTGTCAGGCGGTACTTGAGCTGTAACTTGGGACATGGGAAGTGATCCGAGCTGGAAATAATCGAATATGTGGTCAATCTTCTGTGCCATCAGCATAAACATAACTGCAGTTTTGGCAGCTACGTGACAGCATTTTTTTTACATCAATTAATGTATTATAGCCACCCTACTAGAGTAACATAAAGCGTGTCATTTTAAAGAGAGAACAAAATAACATTTTTGACAGCGAGTCTTCTGAAGAGAGAAACAGCTGTGTGGGCCTTACAATGCATTAAGTGTTTTATTCCTTTTAGATAGTTAAATTGCGCATGAAATGTTGCTGGCGTGAGGCTTCTCAAAGCTGGCCTGATTAGGCAACATCTGTTCCATCGGGACAAATCTGTATCTTTTCTAATTAGCTGTCAGGCTGATGTACGCACTGGTAGTTCGACGGCACGCGGTAGGTTCCCCTCTCTGTCCCCTCACCTGTTTCCCCACACCCCCAAATTATCAGCTGTAATCAAGGAACGGGAGGAATCTCGGGGCCACTGGCTTGCATCAGCCTGTCATCCTTACGTGCGAATGCTCGTCAACGTCACTGTCGTTCGGGGTAAAGACGGCTACAACCTTTGCCCGGTTCACCGCCCACCCCAGCTGCACCTTGGTCTCCAAAACCAAATCATTTGGGCTCTCTCACCTCCTCTCCCACCCTGTCAGCCGCCCCCTGGGACAGGACACAGCCTCCGGGAACCCTGGGCGATTCGTCTGCCTTTAATAAGGCTCTATCCCCAGTAAATGTTAAGTAAGCCTATCAGCTGAGGAGACCTATCAGGTCGTGGTGTTATCTTTTATTGACTGTTAGTGAGGGTGGGTGAAATATGGGGCCCCTCAGGGGGCCCATCATGAAGAGATGCTGGGGGAAGCTTTTAATTAATTAATGTATCCGTTGCTTTGTTTGTTTGCTGTTTATTACTCAGGTTATAGATTTATAATTTGCTAGATTGACTGTGTGCTCAGTTGTCACACCGCCAAAAGACAAAGGATTTCAATCTTCTTTTTTTGTTATTCTTTTTTTTCTCAAATGGCTGCCCTAAGGGTGCAAATAAGATACGATTCTTTAGGCTCCATTTTAAAGAGTAGTGGAGAGATGACAAAGGCTGTAACTACTAAGACGTGTGCTTAACTAGATATTTCTAAAGTTTTTTTTTGACAATCCTAATCCAAAACGTCTTTGCGGATTTGTCTTTAATGTTAACATTCTGCCTCACTTGCCAGTGATTTTATCTCATATCTCCAGTGTAATATTATTATCTGGAGGCTATATTTAGGGATACTTTGGTGGGTGGGGGGTGGGGGGGGTACCTGTTGCATGTTCTTCAAGTATGATTCCCCCCCAACCCCCCAAAATGCAGGACTAGGTAGGCCGTCACACTCAAAGAAACACATCTCTGACAATACAACTGTAGAGTCAGGCATGGCATCGGGGTAGGGGGAAGGTGATGGGTCCACGGAAGACTTCCAGTTGTCGTGGTGATAGTGCAGAATCTGATGGTGGAGTGACAGGTTTCTGTGGAACTTAGGGAATGTCACTGCGGTTGCAGAGCCCTCGGTGGCCACGGACGGCGGCCGATCGCCGGCCCCCTCCAGCGCCGCCGCCTCGCCCGACCGCGAGCACCTCACATGCCTCCCTCATTCCCCCGTGGCCAGACCGCCACTGCTGACATTTAAAGTGTTGATTTTTTTTTTTTTCGGCACTTATGCTAATTGTTGTAATTTTCTCAGATGAAGCGCCATCCTGGTACCTCAAAGCAGCCAAAATACTTTTACATTTTCTGCTCTCTCCTCTTTGCCATTTGGTCTGTGTAATGTCAGCTCGGAGTGCTACTGAAAGCCGGCGAAATTGCGAGCAAATTGCATCAGATTGCCAACATTGTGAAAAGGTAAATTGCTTGCAAATTTGTTTAAACCATTGGCCTATTTTCATCAGCTTCAACACTTGGTATTCATGACTGCTTAATTGGCGACCTTTCTATTGTGTAGTACACCATAATGCGGGGGGAAGCGATCTTTACCAGACCAATTACCCTTTTTCTCTTCGCCACTACATTATTGCTGCGATTTCCGCTGCTAGTTCTTTGTAAATGAACTTTATGCTCCCAATTGCCTTTTTTTCAGAATTATTAGATAAAAAAGTGTCATTTTGTGGTGCGATGTTGTTTTTTTTTAGGGCAACTGAGGTCACTACCTGCCTGTGACTGTCATCATCATCAGCGTAATGTGTCTTTGCTAATGTTAGGGACTTATTACACATCGGATGGGAAACATTTTGTCAGAGCGTCAAGTGCAAGTGGCATGAAGTGTGTGTGTTAATAATTGCACTGAATTAGACTGTCAGTATTTTCATATTCACCACGCTTTAGTTAGGCTCAGTCTTCTTGAATCCCGAGAAACATTATAGTGTTTTGTTCCCAACATCTGAAACTAAGAAATAACAGGCCAGTTATTTAAATAGGATATGGCTGAACCCATAAAAATACTGTCCATTCCTAGGCACCCTACTGACACACCATACACTTGGAGCAGGTTACTGTTACAGATTCAAATGAATCATGTGACCAAGAGAAGAGGAACAAGGGAACCCATTCAGGCGTGGACTGGCCATCGAGAAGCCGGGAATCTTCCCAGTGGGCCAGTCTTGTGAAGGCCGGTCTGCCTTCCCTAACGCTGGCATAATATACCTATATGATCGCGACGGGCCAAAATACATGGAGGGGGATGCTGCCAGATATCAAGCTGGGGCTGCTTGATGACAAATTCCTGGACAGCTTTTTGTTGCCAGTCCAGCCCTGAACCAAATAAAAACATAAAAGAAACACAAGGAATTCTGCATCGTTTTTGAACGTTTATGAAATTATAAACAGACGTTACACCCTAATATAGGTGTGGTGATATTATCATATCACGGTACCGAATATACATTTTATACTAAAATACATTGCATTAAAAACTAAACTTGGATTTACAAATGATATAGGTGCTTATTCAAGTCGTGTGAGTCTCTAAACGTGACACGATTCAAAAGTCTTTCCTGTTTTAACTGTTTCCTGTTTTGAAGACTTGTACGGTTTCCGGGTCGAACACGGCGCAGCCTCTTGCAGCGGTTCAAGGCATCGCTGCCTTTAGCTCCTTCCGACTGGCTATGGATGAAAGCTCCTGAAAAACCTGCCTCTTTTCCATCCTGTGGTATTCCGGACGCTCG